GTGGTGCGTAACGGTCTGTTCTGCCTGGAAACAGCAGCAGATGAGAAAGAAAACCACGTGTACACCAAGGCACTGATGGCGTACGCCTTCGCCCTGGCAGGGAAGGAGGAGAAGCGGAAGGCATTGCTCGGCTCACTTGAAAAGGAAGCTGTGAAAAAGGGTGAGTGCTCCCGGTGGGACATCTCTTTCTTCCAACCCACTGGCCTTACATCTTCCCTTGATAAAATGGCTTTTGTTGGTGGGGCAGTGGCTGCAGGAAATGGCTTGTGTGGGTGGGGAAAGGTGGAGGGAGAGGAAAAACTTGTGCAAAGGGGTTGCGTTTTTGAGAACTCCCTCTCAGTGCCCAGTCCTACTTCTCTGCTCCGAGGGAGTTCATCAGGAAGCACCAGGCACCATCCCCATCGGTGCTGAACTAAAGCGTAGCTCTGCTAGCGTCTCTCCTCAGTCCGCTCCTCTTGCCGCACCAGGCAACGCTTAGCAAAGACTTAGCAATGTTTATGGCCGCTCCTTCCTTCCAGTGCACGTGCTCCACATAGAAGAAAGCTGACCTTGCACAGCACAAGGGACGATAAGAGCTGCATGTGCTGAGAGAGAAAACGAACGTACAGGTCATTTCGGAGGCCATAGCATAAGCTCTGAGTCTTCTAGGAAATCATGTAACGACTCGGAAGCCTTCTGGTAAAGTCAGGCCGGACAGGGGGTTTGCCCAAGCGTTGGGTAGCAGGGCTGTGAAGGAAATAGCCCCAGCACCTTTTGCCTTTTCCACCTGCAGGTGACTATCAAGCCCTGCTCACAGTCGTTGGGTCCCTGTGCCTCACAGAGCTTGTCACTGCCCAACCCCGGCATCTCTGCTCAACAAGGGAAGCAGTGCCAGCCCGGTGCTCTGCTCGTGCTCAAGCCCATAGATGGCCCCTTGAATCTGGAGTCTAGGGCAAAGTGGTATCCAGGCCTGAGGACTGAGCCTCGGCAGTCTCAGACTAGCTGCAGCAAGCAACGAGTTGTCTAACCCTTCCCACTTCATCCTACGTGACGGATGCTTCCTGGAGGCTCTGCCCTCTGGAAGGGGCAGACCGGCAGCAGATCAAGAACTGCCTTCCAATAACTGCTACTAATTGCTTGTTGTCTTGTCTCCACGCTCCCTGCCTCCTGTGAAGATGGGTCTGTTCATTGGCAGCGGCCTGGGAAAGAGCCAGAGGTTGATCTCCCGTACTATCGCTACCGAGCTCCCTCTGCTGAAGTGGAGATGACGGCCTACGTGCTCCTTGCTCACCTCACCACGCAGCCGGCACCTTCCCAGGAGGAGCTGTCATTTGCATCTCTTATTGCAAAGTGGATCAGCGGTCAGCAGAATCCCAATGGAGGCTTCTCCTCCACCCAGGTGAGCTGCTTCTCTCCTGCGACCTCACACATCAATGTCAGAAGATGGGAAGTGTCAGAGACCCAGGTGGGAGCACAGTAAGGTTCACCAGGGCAGGGACTGTAGCCCTGCAGTATATCCCTGCGGTATCTACCATGGTTGCCAAGTTCCCGAGAGGCTAGAGGCTAGTATGTCAGGCAGTGCCTCTGGGGATGACTGATGTTTTGGTTAATGACCTGGTTTTCTCGACACCGCGGGGCAGAACGGTAGGGACACAAGGGACGTGTGTCTGTGGCATCGGAGAGGGCTCCCACTGCAATTTGTTTGTGCATATGAAGTTGCTGCTTCACCCTGTGGCGAGCGAGTGCAGGCTGCGCAGAGCTGCACGCCAGGGAGCTCAGGGAACATGCAACTGCTGCGCAGAGGACACAGGGAGGGAATGGAAACATTTCCCTCTCTGCTATGGGCTTAAAACTGGAGAAGGCGAAGAATGGAGGGGAGGATGCCTGCCGACAGCAGAGGGCAGGCTGTGGGAGGACAGGCTGTGGAAAGGCTGACTGTATTCCCCTGGGTGCCGGGACCCATCTCTCTCAGGACACAGTGGTGGCTCTCCAAGCCCTGTCCCTGTACGGAGCTGTCACCTATGCCAAGAGCGGAGCAGCCTCCAAAGTGACCCTGCGATCTGGAGGGGACTTCCAGCAAGACTTCCAGGTGGATCCCACAAACCGGCTGCTGCTCCAGCGCGTGCCCCTGCCCCAGGTGCCAGGGGAGTACAGCACGGAGGTGTCTGGTGAAGGGTGCGTCTACCTGCAGGTGAGGGTGATGGGGGCAGGTGGCATCGTGGGAGGAGAGCCCCTTGCCAGGCAGGAGCCAGGGAGAGGGCAGAAGGGACAGGGGGGAGGGGAGGAGTGGGAGGGAAGGCTCTGGGAGAGGGAAGAGGAGAAGAAGAGTAGAGGTGTGTGGAGGAGAAAGAGTGGGAGGGAAGGATCCGCAATGTGGAGGAGCTGTGAGAATGGGAGAAGTGGGGAGGCAGGACGGGGAGAGGATGGTCTCTCTCACGTGCTGAGCACCCACACGCACACGCTCACACAGAGCTGCTGGCTCTCCCCTAGACAAGCCTGAGGTACAACGTGCAGCCCACGCAGGAGGATGCGCCCTTCATGCTCCATGTGTACACGATCCCAGAGACATGTGAGGGCTCCAAGGCTCACAAGGTCTTTGACATAGGCATAAATGTCAGGTGAGTCTGCATTTGGGTCTGAGCCTTCCTGAGGAGCCATGGGAGCTGGAGGAGGTCTGGCGGTCCAGGGTGAGCCAGCCTGGAAGCCCTGGAGGGGCAGTGCATCCCTGGAAAAGCGGGCAGGAAGCAGCCGGGCTGGGAGGAGAGGCTGCGGAGGAAGGACATGTCCTGCAGTGGTGGAGCTGTGCGGGCAGCGCAGGGCTGGGCTAGTGAGAGGCTGCATAGGTGACTAGGAGGCCCTGGCATAGCTGGAGAAGAAAGTGCTGGACTGTCAGGACGTGGTGGGGTGCCAAGTGTTATGGAAAAGGTGGAAGCGCCCCCAGCTTCGACTTGAGGTGCGCTGTATCTTTGTGGCTTGGTTCCTTAGTTACACTGGGGAGCGCAATGGCTCCAACATGGTGATTGTTGATGTGAAGATGCTGTCGGGATTCATCCCCGTGAAGTCCTCCGTGAGGAAGGTAGGATGCTGCGTGAAGCATTTCTTTGAGTATATCTGTCCTTAATCAGGGGCATCGGTTTCCTTATTTAAAGGAGCATCTAATTCTTCTCCTGGTATCTTCTCCAGTGTTAGACCTCTCCCTCTTTTCCTCCAGTTCTTCCACCCCTCCGCTGTGGAGGAGGGGTGAATGAGGGATGCCAGCAGCAGCACTCCCTTCCCACCCCTCAAGCACTTGTGGCAGCTTGCAGTAGCTCAAATATATGCACAGTTTGGCCCTGAGACTGAGAGCTGGGAGGAGACCATCAGGTCTAATTTCAGGGACTAAGGAGCCTTGCGAGAT